AACGGGCAAATCTACAGAGGTGAAGAAACAACCAATCTCCCATACTACGGTCTCATTATGGACGCAAGAAACAGCGGAAACTAAAGCCAAAGCGGTCACAGCGCGACAGCACATCAATAGTTAAGTTTAGTTTAAGGTTTATGTGTGTAATAAGTGTTAAACTATTTAACCCTCCTTGTTTAATTAGAAATGTGAGTGCACTGGAAACTTCTTACTTGATATGTTACTGTATGTTTTTCTGTAGATTAATAATTTGTAAATGCTTAACTATTTAAAGGTTTTAATATGCATCCACATTTCTAGTTTGTTTGAATTTTGTTTTTTTTTCTTTTTTTTGGTTACCGTCTATTGTTAGTGATATTGGTTTTTTTTTGTATTATATTATTAGTATTAGTAATATTAGTTGTAACATTATAATTATGTAGGTAAGTAACTAGTTTGCTGTATTAATATCAATTTGTTTCAATAAAGAATTATATTAAAAAAAAAAAAAAAATTGTACGTGTGTAACCTTGGTCCGGTTGTTGCTTTTCCTGCACAACAGGGGCTCGATTCATGGGCATTTTATACGGTTTTATGGCTCACTGTTTGTTCTGTGTTGTTTTCCTACATAAAGCGAAGGCAGGTGACTGTTTGAAGTCTCAACTCACAAATCTCTTCTGCATCAAAGAACTGCACACCGATACACCATGAAAGCACCAAGTCCTTAAGGCCAGGCCAGTCTCATATATCTTCCCCTTGCTGGGCCGCCTGTGGGTTTACGTTTGTTTTGGCGAACATGCAATTCAATAGAGTAGTTCACATGCTTTTGGACTAAAGTTTATTCATTTGATTAGGGTAAGGTCAAACAAGCAACAAGCTTGCAATTGGGCAGTTCACGTGTTTCCCGGCTTGTCTTCATTCGTTCAGTTGTATTTGCTTTTGCTTCACGTTTCCTTGGGCTAACATTCATTCATTTACTTTACAAGTTTTGGGTCAAATAGCAGTCTCACCTATGACATCTTTTAATCTCACTACGCTTACTGTGCTGTGAAGATGCAGTTCAATTTAACAGATTATATGGCAAGCCAAACATGACAAAAGTGGTATGAGTTTTAAATCACCTATTAAGTTTCAGTAATTGATATCACCTATCGAGTTTCAGTAATTGATGTATGAGGTTGGGAAATCACTGTA